CGCCCACAGGAAGCCGCGACCGCGTGGCAGCAGGGAAAATGGCCGCAGATCTGGTTCGTAAATAGAGGTGGAGTTCGCATGTCGAGGTAAATTTTTGGGGCCGGAGCTGGTCGTATCTCGAAAAATTCGTAAGGAGGGGCGTTTGTAACTAGAGGTACCACTGTAAATAGCATCAGATAGGAAGCTACGTTTTATACCAGGAATGTAAAAAGCATGGCTCAGAGATCTCATGCAGCCATCATGATGACTACTACACCTTTGTCCTCCCTGATGTCCCCAACCAACTCCACTCTACATCATCTAATACTATAATTTCTAATGATTTTAAAAATTCAACTAGATTTTTCTGTATTTTCAAATATATATAGGAGAAAGAGATGATATGCATCAATTTTGTGTTATTTTTTAAATTTATGGGGAAAATTAAACTTTGGGAGTGTAGTTCCTGACATTTTGCATAATCATTGAGTTGATAGAAGCTGTACATACCTGATTTACACCCTGTCATACTTCAAATAAAGAATCTGGCAAGATAGTTGTATATATTTGGCAAGAAGTGTAGTTGTATATAAATACTTTTAACCTTTGTCAACAAACATTTCTCATGAAGACATACAATTGCAAAAGAAATTAAAGCAGTCTTTCCATTAATGTTTTTATCTATATTAGTTAACAAATATTCAACTTGATAACTATGTTATTAACCCTTCTTCACCTCACTGTAAGGGGTGGACACAACAAAGCAAATACTGTGCTACACAAATCCAAAATCTCAGCTTATAAATTATTTATGTAAATCAACCAAAGCAATAAAGTCACACAAAATATCTATACTCTATTCTTCTGTATATCAATTAAGTAACTCTCATAAAGGCACTCATCTATTTGAAAATATAATTTCATATAAAATGTTTGTATCCTGCTTCTTAATTAGAAAAAGCACTTAAAATGGCTAATTACCAGCTATTTTTAAAGCCTTATTAGGGAGGGGCACGTCAGACTTTGCTTGCCTTCTAGGTCTCATTTCACAAAATGCAAAGTGAAGTTCTAAGCCTTATCAAGCATTCTGTAGTTAGAGACTGAAGTGGCATACAAGTCTGAGTAAATAAATCAATAAAGCTAAACTTACAAGACATTTTTTAACAACCTTTCTATATCTACCTGGGTAGACATGCTGATTTAATTGACATTGTCAAAGTATGCATGAAGTGCAGCACTGTGCTTTTCAGGGCAACCAGCTTGGCTCTAAGAAGATTATTTTGAAGTGTTCTAAAAATCTCTAGCTTCCGTAGACTTCTCTCATTTTATAGACTCAGATATTAAATAAATATTATATTAGGCTGTTAACTGGTAAATATATTTTTTTCTTCCCAGCGTTTTTCCTGTAGGTGCAGGGTCTGCTTTTTTTTGGATCAACTGAATTTTGATCCATTAGTTGCAAGAGGAATTGACTGACCAGCTTGTCGCCTGAGTGTCGTGGGCTGAGAGAGGGTGACTGGCCCAAAGTCACCCAGCCAGCTTTCATGCCTAAGCCAGGACTAGAACTCAAGAGTCTCCTGTTTCTAGTCTGATGCCTTGACCTCTAGACCAAACTGGCTCTCCCATGTTAACTGGTTAATAGAGGATATGTAAATGCCACTATCAAAATGCCATGATCTTCTGAATGGCCTGAAAGTGTGAGAAAAAACTGCTTTATAACTAACAGTGCCTGAAGCCATAAAACTATGAGATAAGATAGGGAACAATTCACCTGTCTTCACACATGTGGTCCTTTTGCTTTTCGAATCAGTGATAGGCAGCTTGGATTTAAACAAGTTACACTGCAGTGATTGTTCCTCTGGACCCCAAGAGAAAGAACCCATGAGAGAGAAATGCTTTATGCCTGAATTCACACAACATGCTTAACTTGTTTACTGGGTTCTCCTTATACATTGAATTATAAGCCAATCAAACTGGTTGAGTTTGCACAACATACTAAAACACACACATATGCACAGATCATGGTTAAGGATGGTATGTGAGTACAGCTGCTAGGTCTGTAACTGGTATGTGAGTACAGCTGCTGAATGGTATGTGAGTACAGTTGCTAGATCTATAACTGACCCAGTTAGGCACATTGTGCAAAACACACCTATCTGGGCAGAAGAAGACTGGTAATCTCTCACCCTCCCCCCACCCCCTGTCTTACTAAAAGGCCCTGAACCCCAAAACCTTAAATTATCTGCAGCCAGCAAACACACTGAAGAAAGCCTTCTGACTCTGCAGCAAACACACTGAAGAAAGAAAACTGTGACTTCCTAGGTAGCAGAAATAAAGAAATCTAGCAGGCAAGGAAATGCAATGAGTTTCTGCTACGTACTGTAGCTAAATGCATAACCTGGATGAAAAAGAAGGCCAGGTTCTGAACCAGGGTTCCGACCCAACCTGAATGCCGGCAGTCTATTTGGAAAATATCCAAAGAGAAGGCAAGAACATCTCAGAGCGTATTTCAGAGTGCGTCTTCCAAACTACCGTTCTCTACTATTTGAGTTCCCAAATGCCATGGTGGTGGACGTGGCAGCTTCAGCTCTGACACCACTCATTTGGTAAGACAACATTCCCAACGGGTTCTGAAGGCCCGCAACAGACCTTGGAGCTTCAACCCTGAGGAGAGGAACTGGGCGCCAGCCCTCAGGAAGGGCACCCGATAGCCCACCACGCTGAGCCCCTCCTGGAAGTTTAGGCTGGAAGCAAAACTAGAGAGAAAGGCGTCAGGCAGGCAGGGAAAAAATGCCTTCCTAGGTGGCAGAAAATCTGGCACGCTCAACCTCCAAGGAGGAGAGCAGGCTCGCCATGAAAGCCAGGGACTTTCGCTTTTGCAATGGCTTCTGGAGGCTCCGGCGCTCCCTGCCCGGAGGAAGCCTCCTCCGAGGTTTGGGGTGCTTCCAACCGCGACTACTTGCACCCGAGGTCCGACCTGTCCTGGAGGGATGGAGCGAGCGGTCCACGTACCTGGCAGAGACAGGAGACTTCCAGCGAGGAAGCAACACACGGCCGTGAGATGATACGGGGAGCGACGGATTCCCACCATGGTGGGCCGGCCCTGGTGGCGATCGGTCGGGGCAAGAGAGCGAAAAGAGAATCGGCGCCCCCGGCAGCGCCTGTGAAGATCGGGTCCTGGAGAGTGAGTCACTGCCACGTGGTTCATTCACAAACACAAGGACGGGACTAGTCGGGGCGTGTCGCGGCCTTTTTTCGCTTCCCCAACTCCTACAAAACTGCCAGTGTTCTCCGGTTGTCCCGCATCATTCGCGGGTCTCTCGCGCCCCCTGGCAAACGTCTACCCCACTAAAGGGGCGCCCGCCCTCACGGCTGAAACTCAGAGGCCGACGCTTTCTCCGCAGTTGGCCAGAGGGTTTCTAGAAGATAAACAAGAGCAGCCAATGCGAAGCGCTTGCCTCGTCGGTAGCGCAAAACTCTGTCCCACGACACAATCTGAGATCTGACCGGCGCTGCGAGAGCCGCTCCGCCCCTTCACCGTCGGCGCCGGGCGGCCGAAGCAGACCGTCCTCTCCGCGAGAGGGGACGGGAGGGGCTTTGAGGGTTCCCTCTCGGTTGAGAGGGATGCGCGCATCTGCTCCGCATTCATCCGTGCTGGCTGAATAATCTGGTTGCCCTGAATCTAGAGGTAACACATGGAGGAGAATCAGGAAGTACTGCCCGCAGATCTGAAAAAGTTTCAGATATTATGTTGAACTTTTTGAGCTGCCACGCCTAAAACAAATACAGCGCTTCATTACAAGTAGCATTTGACAAGTTTGCCCAGCACCTATCCCATCTTGGCTGCCGTTAGAAAGGTAATACTTGAAAGGCAGACAACTACCAGGGTATCCCAGGGCGGTTTGATATGTTGTGAATTTATCTGAAAAATCCTGGAAGAAAGCAATGGCAAAACATTTCCAAGAAAGCTACACTGTCTGTAAAGTCACCAGGCAGGAAAGCTCAAAGGAGTCCAGGTTTGGGGCATTTTCCCAGCACTTAAATGCAGAACAAATGTACCCAGGCAGCTACATTATTAATGTGTGAAGGCAGGCAGTTGGGTAAACCATGGTTAAATAAATCAGAAGTAAGCATGTTGTGTTATCGCAGCTAATGAGTTCACACAATAATGTAGTTGGCATGTCTGTTTTTGTGAATCCATCAAATGTAGTTTATAGATCAGAATTTATTATTTGGTGTGTCTGAATGTAGTCTATGGTGGTTTATTCAATCAACTATACTTAAAACATGGCCAAGCTTATTTATATTGTTGCTAATAACTTGCTAACTAATTCTTCATCTTAAAATTTCTTGTGCCATTCATAAAATATAATAGACATGAAACCGGCTGTAATATAAAAATTTTAGAGAAAATAATATTCTTATTTGGGGTGAGTATAAAGAAGTACAGAGATAAAGCTGAAAAAAGAATCAGGAAAAGTTAAATAAACATCAATTTAACCCCGAGAAAGAAGAGGAAAGAAACTCAATATAATTCTGCTTTGATTCTCTTTGGCAAAAGAGAAGGCAGAGGTAAATGCTGTCAGCCTTTCAAGATGCTATTATTATACCCTATAACAATAAAGAAGAGTTCCAGTAAACATTGTTTGTGGTGTCTGTTTCCTGACCTGGCCTACCTCAAAGGGCTGACAGCTTGGCTAGAAAATTAAATTATACATTATAGCAAATGTATCTATATAGTTACTTGGGAATGGTATTGAAGGAAATTGTAGAGGAACACAGAGATTGCCATGGAGGAAATACGTGGCGTGTGAGAAAAAAAATCACATCTTGACCCTGTTTAGTATAAGAGGGAGAGAAGGGAAAATGCTGTCAGGCTTTCTAGATTATAGCCTATATCGGTTTTGTGACCTGGCCTACCTCAAAGGGCTGACCTAATCATATTTCAGAATGGTGCTTTGTATAGTGTGGGAATTAATAGAAAAGAGAATCTGGAAGTAAAGCTAAAGATTGTACAACTCTTGAGAGAAGACCTCAAGGAAGAAGAGTTAGGACAGTCGTAAAAGCAGAACTGAGAACAGTTTAAACTAATAGAACAAATTGAAGAGAAACACTGGAAATATATTTCAAAGTAGAGTCTGTTGAACTGTTGGAGTAACAATGACAAATTAAGAAAAAAGGCAGAGAGAGGACACTACATAGCTAACAGAGCTATTGGGTATCAAAAACCAAGGGTGGATTAAAAATACATTTGTCTGTATCTGCTAACTGGGGTGTGTTGAAAGTTGGCTTAACTTCTGGAATAAAAAAAGGAAGGCAGAGAAAGGGGTTGCACAGTTGTGCAATAAGTATCACGGCCCTTTCTTGACTGAAAGAATCCACTCTAAAATTCCAGCAGAGGGACAGCCTTTTAATCCCAATTACTGTGGAGACACAGTAATAAAATAACCACCACCAAGATCTTTCTCCCTTACTGACTCCTCAGAAGTAAGAGAGCAAATAACTTTTCTTTCTCCAATTTGGACTGAATGAAGGAGAAGGACAAGTAAATATTTTAATATAAGAATGTGGGCCAATTTCTTTCAACAGAATCTTTAAAAAAGACCTTCAGCCTGATTATCTACAAAATACTTAACTGAGGTGCCCATATATAATGACAGCAACAGGATGGGATCAACTTTGAATTACAGTTTTTTCCTATGTCTTTTTCTTTCCAGGGTAATATAATACTGAAGCAAAAAACAAAACAAATTCCTAAAAGTTGTGTCTGTGGGCATTCATACGTATATACATATGGAAAGTCAGCTTCAGCGTAAAATATTGAACTGGTGACTGTATTTTTTAGGGCATTTGCTTCAGACAATGTCTGCAATTTCTGATGTGTTAGTAGGGGTAAAAGTATTTAAAAAAAAACAATAGAGCCCACTAAAGTAGGTATGTATGTATGTATACATTTATTTATGTATCGTATTTATATAGCTGCCCATCTCACACAAAGTGACTCTTTACAAAGAGCGCTTGCTGGCAAAATCTCATGTACGTTGTATATCTGTTTTGCTTCAGTTTTTATAATACCTTGGCAAGGTAAGAATGGAACCTGTGCTTTCAACTGCAGCTCTATTTGGCAAAAATAACAAAATATGTGAAAGCTTCATAACAGTTTAGAGCAGTGTTTCTTAGTCTTGACAATTTTAAGATGTGTGGACTTCAACTCCCAGAATTCTCCAGCCAGCATGGAATTCTGGGAGCTGGTCCACACATCTTAAAGTTGCTAAGGTTGAGAAACACTACTTTAGAGGGAAACAACAAAGTGAATGCCTCACAATAGCTGCTGTACATTTTCATTCATCTTTATCTACATTTAGGAAGTCCCAATAAGGCAGGCATCCTGAAAACCACACTTCAGGAAGCATTATTACTTGCTGAGTATCCTGCTTTCCCTCCATTAACTATTTATGCTGCTCTGACTCTACATAAGCCTTCAAGCAGGTCATCAGTTCTTGGATTATGTCACACCATATACAGTATGCTACTAAACTGGGGTGGAAGGGAAGACATTAGTTTTCTAATATAATGTATCCCATTTTCATCATAGTTTGCATTATTGTACATTTAGTTTGTGGAAGATTTCCTTCTCTGGATAAGCCAGTGTTTTGACATTCCATAAATAGTGCAAAATGGATTGTGAATTTCTAATTTTCAAACAGTTACTATTTATAGAAAAAACAATGTGGCATTCTATTTTTAAAGCCGCCTATGAAATATACTTTGTAAAACAGTGTACTTCTGAGTGAAACATATACAATGGTGGCCATACATCTTTTTACAGAAATTCTGCTAGATACAATGGAAGAATGACCAAAGAAAATACACTGCAGAAGAGACTCACCACTGTGTGGTGGTGTACTACTTGATAACAGCTATAGTAAATAATAAAGATCCTAGACTATGTACCATTTTAATGGATACATTTAGTGACTGACAGAGGAGGCCTAGCTTTCTAAAACTAATCCACCTGCCACAGATATATCACATCCTTTAAAAGTCATTTCCAGTGAGATGGGCAGTGACAAATGTGAAACATAAATATAAATGAAAACAACAGAACAGGAGGTAACCAAGGTGTGAGTGACTATGAGCAGAGCTTCCCACTTAGGAATGGGCTCACTTGGTGCACAATATGGATTTGTGTAAGAACTCTCTTAGCCATGGCTACCACCTACCCTTTGAGAAGGAGCCAAGAGTCTAGGAGAAACCCCAAATTACATACCAGTTCTGTTTGGGGGAGTCCAACCCAATCCATTAATGGGAAGTATGCAGATCTGGGGCGGGCCTTAAAACTATAGCCATCCAGGCTGTGGTGGCTTGGATGGGGAGAAAAAGGCTTAGGCTCAACCCTATTAAGATTCTCAGCTGACAATCTATGGATACTATAAAAGCGGGAAAATAGTTATATTTTGCTGCTTTTATCACTACAAGGTAATCCTTACAGACTCTTACCCATGTTTAATTGGATTTGGTCTTCATCTTTCTCCAGTGGCATTCTAGGCATCTCTCCTGCCCCCTTCTGCCATTTTATCTCCCAGAGTTCTTTTGAAAACCAGGGGCCTCCCCAGAACCCATGAACAGAGAGATGGCACAGGTTCAATCTCAGTGAAGGCTATTGTCACCCCAGAAAGATGATTGCTCTGCCAGCATTTCCCAGCTAACACAACTGCTTTGAGAGACTGAGCTTTTTCGGACTTAGCACGGATTGTGAATCCTTATTTCAGTCATACCCCATGTTTTCATTCTCTCCCACCAGCTTTGTCTTTGCCCTCTGCCTGTTTCCAGTTAAAATACTGTTTTGTTTTTTTCAAATTTCTAAAGAAGTAGAACTGATACACAAAATGTTAGGGATTTTAACTTTACATATCTGTAATCTTTGAAATGGTTCACTAATTTGAACACCAGATGTCACTCTCATTTTAACTTTTAACGAACCACAGACTGAGATATGTATCTATAAATGAGAATCTGCAGCTCAGTTTCCTGGGCAAAAGTCACTCACCCCTGCCCACAGCATGCTGACATGGACAAATTTTACACTTTAATTAGAATATATTAGTTTCCCCCAAACTTCATAAAAAGATTGGGAACCACTGCTCAATTCTATTTCTGCCAAGTATTTTTCTATACAACAAACTTTTTGAAGAATGCTTTTGGTTTTTAAGAGTGCCTTAGAGAATTCAGCAGAGCTCTGACTCCAGCTGACTCTGTGAATAAGCAACAATTTTAGAGCTTTCAGTTCCATTTGTCTTCTCTCATCTGTCAGGTATTATTCCAAGTAGAGAAAATCCATTCTACAAGTGCATTTGTGCCAAGCATCCACTTGGAAAGTTATACTAGAAAGCCAGGATAATTGAAAGTAATGTCCATATTTACAAAATCCATGACAGTTGGTGCCAAGTGCCCGTCTGCTGGCTTTCCCCCCTCTTCCATTCTGCTATTTTGTCTGGACGATATTTCTTTGCACATATCAGTTTATCAAATAATTCTGTTTCATTGATTTTTCAGTTACAGAGCAGAAACAGCTCTACCTTAGCAGGTTTAGACCTGATTAGTATTTGGATAAGAGACCTCTGTAGATCAAAAATACATCCCAGAAGGCAATGATAAACCACTTTTGTATTATAGCCAGGAAAACTACATGGGGGAGAGTATTTAAATAAGTCACCAGGAAGAGATTGTTCTACCTGTTTCCAAATGGGATCTGGTCTTTCAGGGCACATAGGAATGTCTGCTGCTCATTGAAAAATGCCCCCCCTTTTTTTTTAATTTAAGCAACATGGACATTTTTATGGATCCAGCTTTCTCTTTAAGAAAAGTCTTGACCTGCAGCTGCATTAAGCACATGCATCTCTTCTTTTGACCAATTTTTCTTTCAGGTCTCTCTGTTTCATGACAATGTCTATCACACTGGTATTTTGTTTTTCTATACAGTAACCAGTATTGTGTTGTTGAACAGAGAACTGATTGTGCAGAAACCAGAGCCAGATTTCACCAAGAGTCATCAGAACATGAGAATAAGATTTGAGAGCTGAAAGGGTTTTGCTTGCACTGAGAAGCTGCTGCTATTCCAAACCAACAAAATCACACAATTCCTTCCAATCTGTTGTTCTAATGGCACAAATATGGAAGTACTGTACATGTAAACTTTGGTAAGATGGCTGTGTTGAAAGGTACTTTCTTAGCAGCAATTGTACTACATTATGGACAATATGGGCTGCCTACCCTCTTCAGTTAGAAAGTTTTCAAGGATTGCTTCTTTCAGTCTGCAGAAAATGTTATTTCCCCCCCCCCCAGCTTTTAGTTTACTATCAAAATTAGTAATTTTCTCATAAAATAGGGAAGCTTTGCACTCCACCCTTAAGGCTGGAGAAACAGACTTAAAAATCAAGTTTTATTCTAAATTACTTTGAATATATATATACTGTACTCTGTATACTATAGAGGAGTCCACTGAGTAGTCAAGGGGGTACAAATGGTGAAACAAGCATTATGACATTGCTGCACAAGCTCCATACGCTGAAGTCCTGAAGTCCACCACTATCACAAGAAATCATTTTTCATGAGAGACAGTGCAATCCTATGCATACTTACTCAGAAGGGTCCATGAATGAAATGAGGTGTGCTCCTAAATAAGCCTAAATGCCCAAATGCAAAACACACACAATTTAAAGATACTGAGGAAGGTAAAGCTTATTGTACCCTGTTAACAGCATTTTCGCAGTAACAAAGGGTTCAGCAAAAAGGAAGCTGACCTATGGTCATTTTACTTTATTGTTGTTTACGAGACACTGGGGACTTTCATGAATTATATCATTTCCAAAAATGATTAGTAGTTGTTAGTGCATGTGTGTATGTAACACTGTAGCCTGTTACAAAATCTGTAGCCGTGCAGCAAATTTAGGAAGTACTGCCCTGTGCAGCAAGCAATTAACTCTGGCTCGGTTGACAGCTGCATTTCTCCCCTCCTTGTGCAAACAATTTAGAATTGGCTTTTGTCCTTTGCTTTCACTTGGCAAACTTATTCTCATTGGCTCGACATTCTACAGTATTTCTTATCCGCCTTCAATCGATGTCCAATATCCCCAGCTCTTTCTTCGTCCCGCCCTTTCGCTTACGCTCTCTCGGAACTGTTGTTGTGCTGAAGTCAAACTGATCTGCCACTCAAGCTCTTTTTCTCTCTAACCAAAGAGGAGTCACAGACCGCGGCTATGTGTCAATCTTCAATACGATTAGCCACATTCGCTGCCCATCCAACAGGAAGCTCTCTCGATTGGTGGAAATCCCCAGAGCAGGCAGGTCCCGCCCTTCTTCGCCCTGTAGTGGCCTCCAGCCAGCTCTGGCGATTTACTTTGGGCTGTAGGGTCCGCGTAACTCAGCTGGTTGCGCGCCCGCTCTTTCTTTCCTCTGTGCTGCGGAGAAGGTTGGGGGAAGGGCTCGAGGCCGCTGCGGCCCAGGCTTGCGTAGTTCGTTCTTCTGGAAAGTGACCAGGTTGCTCCCTTCCGTGTCCCACTACCTTGCCTGGGTATCCACCGCGGAGCATTAGACCGTTTCCCCCGGTGTACCGCGCTTCCAGAATCCTGAAAAGCCTGTGAATATGAGCTGTCCCTTGGAGTGCGGGACGCGCCGCCCCTCTTCCTCCTCTTCGAGGCAGGTAAAGGAAACAGACCGGTGTGGCGAATTAGAGTGCCGACTGTCGAGGCGGAGGGGAAAAAAGGGTCTTTCCCAAGGTGTGCAGCGAGAGGGAAGGGAAGCGAAGCGGGGCTGGGTGGAGTTCTGAGCCGAGCGGGAGTGTGCGCGCGTACTAAGTGTTGCATGCCGACGTTACAGAGAGTGAGGATCCGGGTGACTTCCTGGAGGTCAATGCACGGAGAACACCCATCCGATAGTTTCTAAAGATGTGTGTGTTATAGTGCTCTGAAGGAAACGTATATGGAGGTAGTACGCTATAATTTAGCAGACCTTTGTGTAACTTAATTGTCTTCGGCACCCATGTTGTGCCCTAAGAAGTGATACCAGGCAACTGCCCGGTCAGAGATGAAGGAGTGTCTGATCACCTGTATGAACCTGTGGGCAAAGGCAGAAGAATGACTTCCTTATCTTTATCTCTTTTCTTCTCTATCTGTTGCACAATAATGCTTTGCCTGGCTACCTTCTCATTTAGGAACCACAAAATCTTACTGTGCGTTATTAAATAGGGCTTGTTTCCATAGGTGTTTTGAAATTATAGAGTTGAGACTACTCAACTAGTAAGGGCCACTGAATCTTTAGGTGTGTTGCTTCTGCTTAGCTTTTTCACTCAAAATAAACATGTCCTGAATGGAAAAGCTGAATGTTCATTATAAGGAGTTTTCTTTTGTCCCCCTTTATGTTGCATATAGATTTGTTATCTGTGCATCTATTTTGAGGTCCTTTGACATCACTGCAATCTACTGCCTCTATAATGTTTTCCAAGTACAGCAGGATAAAGTGCTTTTCTTGTATATAATTGGTGGAATTATCTCTTGTATAGTATATAAAAAACTGCTCTTCATATGGGCACAGACGTGATTTCAGGAGGGAAACAGCTTTCATGGAGAAACCTTTGCCTGTTTGATGCTTTTTAGTATTGCTAGACTACAGATGCCATTATTTCCAGAGAAGGCTATGTAGAGGATTGGTAAATGTGAATTTGTGACAGTCTGATTTACTTTTTATAAATAACCCTCATGGTCTATTGCTGTCTTTAAATTTATAAAATTAAAGGGAATATTTGGACTAGTTTCATAGTTGAAGCTTAACTGATCTGTACTAAAACATTTTTCCCAGTCTGATACTCTTCATAATTCTTGGCCCAAAAGCTGTTTTCAGATAAATCATGATATATAGTTCTAATCCTAATTTAGCACCAAAACTGCAACTTCTTTTTCCCACATTGAAAAGAATATACGGTGCAGACAAGTGGGGGAAAGCATACAGCACATTTTAGTAGACTGTGCTGAGTATGCTAATGTTCCCAAATTTACAAAAGAAAATAGTATGAATGGAAAAGTATATGGATTGCTAAGACTTTAGTAAATTACATTTTATAAATTACAGTAAAGGTATTAAACTGGTGCTGGCATAAGAAAAGGAATATGTCAGGTATTAATGATGCCATAGGTTTTGTACACTGTTCTTTATCATGAAAAGTATGGTTTTTATAAATTGGCAGTAATAATAAAAATTAGGAGAGCTGGTTTGGAGTAGTGGTTAAGGCATCGGGTTAGAAATGGGGAAATTGTGAGTTCTAGACCTGCCTTAAGCATGAAGCCAGCTGGGCCAGTCACTCTCTCTCAACCCTAGGAACCAGGCAATGACAAACCACTCCCAAAAAAAACATTGCCAAGAAAACTGCAGGGACTAGTCCAGACGGTTGCCAGGAATCAAAAACTGATTCAAAGGCACCCCCCCAAAAAAAATCAGATGGATCTTTCGGAAAACTTTTTTTATATTTTTATTGAATGTTAAAGATAAATATAAAACAGAATAAAAAGTGAAATACAAATGAATTAAGGGATTTAGAAAGGTCATGATTGTTAAAAATTTTCAGAATATTTATAGTTAGTTGTAAATAACTGAAGATATATCGCTCTGCCAAGCTAAAACATAGTTTTCTAGTGTTGCAACATTTTGCTTTGTAAAGATTATTTTCTTGTAATGGAAGTCTTACATTTTTTTATGAAGATCAAGCTAATAAAGAAAATAGATTAAAATGGAGGTCAGAGAAGATCAAATAGGTTTAATTTATCACTTAATTATAGTCAAGAACTCCATGAAGTGTAGAAAACCACTTACTTGCATGTGCTGTCAAGTGGTGCTGTGATACAGCTGGTATCCTCTACAACTACCTTCTCTTCTATTTAGACCATATGGTCTACTGCTTTTCTTCAAGTCCAATACCAATTCTGATGCTAGCCAGGAAGATCATAATACTTGAGATATTATACTAGGTTACCTTCCTGACTATATTGTGCAAGAAATTCTGGATGAGTCTGTGATTCATCTGTGGTGAAGAAATTCCCATTTGAATCAATTGGTGATTTCTCTAGGAGTAAGTATTTTGTTGCAAGAAAAGGAGACCTTGAGAAGTGCATTAATTATTTGCAGCTGACCCTTGGGTGGAGTTCTTTAAAACTCTTAGTTAAGGGCTGGTAGCTGCTGAAATAGTAATTTCTTCAGTTCTTAACTCTAGCTCCTTTGGCCTCGCCTTACTTATAACCTGAACTCTCATGTTTCAGTCGTCTAAATCCCACTATAGACTTTGCTTCCAAATTATATCATCATGGTTTGATCTGGCTATTATAAAGATAGCCAGATCAAACCATGATGATATAATCTGGTTATCTTTATAACTGCTTCTTGGGCTAATTAACTCCAGTCTGGTACCCTTATGCTTTTGATGCCTTGGTAAATCTCATTGTATTGAATGGATCTAGAGGTACTGTTAACTGGTGTTGTAAGTATGGAGGCATATTTGAACAGGCTGATGGAGCAACAATATAATTCTTTTGCTTGTTCTGTTTTGGTATCCTATCCTTCCAGAGGATGTAGGGATCATGTAGGCAGAACAGTGATATTTCTTCTTTCCAATAACTTTGTGACAAATGAGGGCCTACAACCTATTCAGCACATTGCTGCCTGAATGGGGAAGTTACTTCATATCTAACAGTTCAGATCTAACTTCTTATCTAATATAGTGACAACTATATCAGTGGAAAACAATTTAAAGTCAATATGAATACAGGCTACTGGTAATTTTGAACAATATGAACAAGATATTGCTGTCAGTTCAGTTTGGTGGTATCCTTCAATTCAGATGTACTGAGGCTACAGCTGCCTAAAATCTCAGCCAGCATAGACAACTCTGAGAGTTGTAGGACCAGCATATCTGGAATATTCCTCATTAGTGAAGATAGATGCACAGTATAATTCAAGTGCCATTTCTGTTCTAGTAGTACAAGAGAAAGGACAAATTTCGTTTCTTTAGAGAAACTCAAACCTCTAAGAAGAAAGAACTAATGAAAAGCTATAGAGAAATACTGGCAATTTAACTATATTCCTCTGACATGATTCTAGATGCATGTTTCTGGCACAGAGAAGTCCTGCAAGAATGAATGAATGAATGAATGAATTAGTGTGTATATATGTGTGTTTATTATTTCATTTTATTGCACTACTAAACAGGTCCTTATTTAAGAATATGTGGCTGGTGGAAAGCACACATCTGAGCTCCATCTAAAAAGGAAGTGCCCAGACAAGTTGCTAGGTTCTGACTTTTCATTGGTAACTGAGATGAAATATTTGTATCTTGTATAATGAAAATGAATTTCCACTGAACTACTATGCAATATAGCTAGTTGACAGCCGATTGACAAGACAGTTCAAATGGAAAACACTCTTAGGCTGAACTAAAATATTGTGGAGCAAAACCAGTCACTATTTTCAGTTGTTGAATTATCTCTTTGGAGTACTGGTGCTTGACAGAGGTTTTACATTTACAACTGTTTAACAAAGACTGTCTTTAACATATTGTACAAATGCTAGTTCTAGGTGAAAATTATTCCATGTTTTACTGAGAAAATGAGGAGGGAGACACACTATCTCTACTAGCCACAATAGTTTACTAAATCATTTACTACATACACACATATTGTCATCTAAATGGAAAAATAATTTTGTGGAACCTCCTCCTCTGGTCTCCTGGACTGAAATCTTACCATTCTCTGGTTAAAAGCCTTGAATGACCAAATTTTGCACTTTTTTCCTCTAAATTTGTCCCATGTAAGTTACATATGTTACTTTACTTTTATTTTTCTAAAAAGAGACATTTGGAAAAAGAAAATCATACAGTGATGTATCCTTCATTTTTAGTATTCAGCCAGAGGGAGGAAACAGAGGCTGACCACTTAAGATGTGAAAGATCGTCTTCTAAAGGATTGTTTTTGCAAGATGGATCGGAGTAAGCGAAATTCAATAGCAGGATTTCCACCACGTTTGGAGCGCATTGAAGATTTTGACGGGGGTGGCGGAAGTGATGGGACCATGTCCCAGATGGGCAGAGTTTGGACTTCTTCATATAAAGCCTTGATAAGTGCCTTTTCAAGACTTACAAGACTTGATGACTTCTCCTGTGAGAAAATAGGATCTGGTTTCTTCTCTGAGGTGTTCAAAGTGAGTATTAACAATTATTCCCTTTTCTTGTCTATAATACAGTTATTGGAGCAAGATATAATGAATGCTTTGTTCTGGATGATATATAGGATTACTATATCTGGGCTGCAGAAATACATGTGACCATTCATGGTGGCAAACTCTTTGCTGTTGTCATGTGATTGCCTGGATTTTTACAGCCCAGATATCGTAGTCTGTCTTTGAAAAGTTTTGAATATGCAAAATTCATTGTGTGATGGAGACTCTGAATGATTTGATATAAACCACTGTATTGAATAACTTATTTACATTAAATACTTTCAGAAACATATGAATTTTATTTACATGTTTAGCCTTCCTTTTTCCAAATAGAACCAGCAATTTGAATCACAAAACATAAAGTAACAATATATATATACACACAAAACATGAAATGTTAAAATGTAAATGTAGAATATAGTATTCTTTGTATTTAAAAAAAAATCTGAAAAGGAGTTTTTAGATGCTTTCTGAAGGCATCTAATATAGCAATCGGGTGGGTTTCCTTCAAGACACAATTCCACCAAAAAGGAGTTGTCAGAGTAATTGCTCAATAGCTCCTCCCAACTATCCAGGTTTGCTATGGATTATGACTGCAAATGAGGTTAGGACTTATAAATACTTATCTCTGCTTTACTACAGAGAACAAATAGATAATGGTACTCAATAACTGCAGGTGTTTCCTTGATGCATCCTCCATGATTTGCCAGAAAACTAGAAAAAGTTGAGGTACACAATAAATACTCTGGTTTTTAAATGTGTGGATTCATGCCTAATTGCTACATTAGTCTTCACGGACATTCTGCATGGCCAAAATTCAAAGTGTAAACCCAGGTTTAAGAAGTTGCCATTGAATTTTGACCTTTAAGTCTGTTTTTTTTTAATGCTCCATAGTGCAATTTAATAAGATAAACATTGGAGGACAACTCCATGAGGCAGTCAATTAAAACTCTGCTAAGGATAATTTGGAAATGAAAGCCACATTTACTATTCATTTTCTAGATGATGGGTGTGTGTTTGTATGACATGCCTATCCATGTTTTGAATTAACTAAGAGTAAGAAACCTCCTCATGGAGAGCTTAAGTCCCTCGTCTCCTGGCATCCTAGGCATCCCAGTGGTCACTAGGTAAACTTTTCAGGCTTGATTTTTTAAAAAATCCTTCCCCAGGGCCAGATTTAGACATGGTGAGGCCCTACGCTACAGAAAACTCTATTTGGCAAGTATTAACAGAATAAGGCTGTGCAACAATTCAACTTAGTAAGAATGCTGCCAAGATGCATAATAAATTTGTGATGGAATGGAGAAGGCCCAGAACAGAAGGTGTGAATGCGAAGAATATCTTAATTAGTGAGGGTCATGTGAGCCATACAAGAGGGTGTAACTTAGCAGACTTTCAGATATGAAATTAGAATAAAATGGTAAAACATGAAAAAATTCTGAAATTTTGAGAGACCCCGTCGGACTCTGAGGTCCTAAAATATAGCTTACTTAATTTATGCCTAAATCTGGCCCAAATGGTACGTGGTGGCTATGTCAGGGATGGAACCACCTTATGCAAAATGGTGAAATACTGCCTTTACTTAACTGAATTAAATAACAGATTTTTTTTTAAGCTAAAAGCACTGGAGACAATTGCAGGAAGAACTAAAATTATAGCTACTCCTGCTGGTTGATTCTGTGTTTGGAAGAGCAAAAGAGGAGTTGGTCATTGCTTAATTCTCCTGTCTGGGTTTGAATAGCAAATGAGCCATGGTTCAGATGAGGTAAACTTAATATAAGCATGATTCCAGCTTATAACAAAGGCTTTTTGTAGTAACCCCAGCCATGGATTTAGAGTGAGTTTGGGTGACATGCTATGGCTTGAGTTACCATGTGGACAAGTCCATTGAATAAGTTGTCATAGGATGAGAAGTAGATGAACATTCTCCAATAATTGGCTAATATTGTACTCTTTCCTTTTCGCTGTCTATTTTAGATACTTAGGAGCACATAGTGTTTATTTTCTAAGGGGCCAGATCCCAGATAGGGAGATTTTGTAGTCTGGAAAATTAGTTTCTTTATGGCTAATTCACAAAAACATCCTCTGTGTGGTCAAACTTAAAAGGAGAGATCTGTTAGAAGCAAACAAGATAAAGTTGTTAGATGTCCTGCTGTCAAAATGCATTGCAACTAATTAAAGCTTGCTATATTAGGACTGTACAGAAATATCTCGGGTTTATATCTTAAATATTTAGGATAGCTTTGTTTAAGACTAAATGATTTTTATCACAGCTTGATCTGTATCTAATTCTAGTAATGTCAGTCATTTTAAATTTCAGGTTGGGCCTTTAATTATTCTATGTATGCTAAGATTGTCAGGTCTTATTCTCCAGCTTTATGCTTGTTTTATTTATGGATTTTTAATTTTTTTAAGCCATAATAGCACTTTGGGATGTTTATTTCAGAGAATGTGAACAGTTTAGAATAATAGCTCAATCTTCCTTTCTTAAAAACATATTTTAATAGGTTCTATCATAATTATGACTTCTTTTTGTATTCTGTCCTGCTGATACATCTAATGGAGGAAAAATAATTTTTGGAGCAACCTAGTTATAAAAATAAGACCATACATATTTCATCTTTTTATGTTCTGTGGTATTTAGTATGAACCACAGCCTGATCTTCTGTGAAAAGGGAAGTGGAAGGATATATTAGCAGAAGACTATGGCAAATAAAGATATGAGAAAGGAAACAAATGAAAAGGAAGGATAAAGTAGCAGCTGCTGAATAATTGTATGGCATAGAAAACCTAAAGCAGTACATTCCCCAAATCCAGAGAGTTTTGTTTTATGCGTTAGTGTTTCTTAACCTGATTCTTTAAGGCTCGTTTTTAAAATGTGAGATAAAAGTAAATAAAATCTTATGTATTTTGCAAGGCCATATAAAAGTTGATCTTATCTGAATATAATGTATGTTGTCTTGAGAAAATAGTATACAGTGTTGTTAACTACGTAAATAGGTAGATTTCTAAAACAATCTTTCAGTAATAGTGAACAATATATGTAGATTACTGAGGGAATATTATGCTTGAATGACTCTGAAAACTATTATAGTAAGTTTGCCAAACAAACAAATTACCCTCCCCAACCTAACCACTGTTATAAAAACTTGTGATTATAAATCTCATAAAATAATAATCCAAATTTAATATGGTGATTAATTGTAGACTTATTGTTTAAACTTCAGTTTGTTCACTTTCAGTTGATTCTAGGAAACAATTCTAGAAACAAATGCTTTGCATTTCTTACTGAATTTAATTTTGTATCATCACTGCTAATGGGGGATGGTGTGAGGAGATTTCATTTTGGCAGTTAGAACATGAGGTTTATTGATGTAAACATTGTATAGCCACAGTTCCTTGCTGCTTGTGCAAATTCATATGAATTAGCTTTTAAAACTGGAAGGATATACTTCCTCTTACTGTATACCTAACTTGCCAAAAAGGAGACATATTTTTTTCAGAGTTCTATGTGTTGTATTAGTCTAGACTAATTAATTGAAGTTGGGTTCTGTTGTGATCCAATATCTCAATATTTTCAGTGAAACTTATCAACTTATTCTAGATCTGAACCTAATATGTGCACCGTCAGTTATAATTACATGCAGCATTGTACTTAACAGAATGTATGGGATTATTTTAAAAAGTAGTTGTTTCTGTCTCTTTGTTGATTGCAGTATATGCTGCTGCTGGCAAAGTTTAATGCTTATTTTTAGTTCTCACTAAATATTAGATAAATATTTATAACTCAGTTTGATTTAGTTTGAAAAAATGTTCCTTTTCCTAGCTGTAGAACAGATGACTGTTCTATAACTTCTAAGATAACTTCTTTTCACAGTCATTGATCTTGGCATTTTCTCTCAAGGGAGTGGCTCAATGTTATATTCCTGTATTGTAGATCATCATTTAGAATTATATACAACACTTAAAATGTACTGGCAAATCAAGTGACATATTGGAAGCTTATAGTATAAATGATTTAATGATAATGTAACCTGTAGTTTTCTTTCCTGGTTCAAATTATTTAAACGTGAAATTGGACAATAATTAGCACACTGAGTGTGATCTTTACCTGCTTTTGGTATAACTGTAATATAAGCTTGATTAAATGCTGGTGATAAAATTCCCTATCAAATATCTCTTCATACACTTGACAAAGTTTTGGCACCAAAAGATCTATGAATGTTTTGTACCACTTGATAGGAAATCCATCTAATCCTGGTGTTTTACCACTTGCCATTTTTAAAATTATTTAATCTCTAGCTCAGATAATGGAGCGAATAATGTTTTTGTGTGTCATCTAAATGTGGTAGGCTAATTTTATTTTAAAAGGCCTCGGTATCTTCATTCGATACATTCTCTTATTTACTATATAATTCTGAATAAAATTTTAAAAATTGACAATTTATCCACTGAAGTTTTATACGTTTCATCTCTCTCACTTCTAACAATTGGAATCATTGCCCTATCTTTCTTCTGCTTTAAGCAATTAGCCAAGATCTTACCAGGTCTTTCACCATTCTCCCAGTATTTCTGTCAAACATGTTAGCATAAATTCAGTCTGCTGTGATATTATAGTACTTAATTCATATTTCTTTGTCTGTATTTTTCTGTACAAAACTGTAGATGAGCATCTAACCATCTGTGCCCATAAATGTTTCAATTCATTTTTCATATTATTTTCCCTTTTATTTTTAATATTATTTTTGTATGATGCATAAGTAATAATTCGACCTCAGATGTATGCT